TCTAAATGAGCAAAAACACATAAAAATGTTGAGCCATTTCTCTGGACAGAGCGCCTGCTCTTATCCTTTGCTTTTGGCCGGCTTGCTTTCTGGCAATTTGCAACTAATTGCTACAAATTAATTTTAGTATGCTTTTAATGGCATTTTGAATGTGGCCGTGGACGCCGGGCACAATGAAGCTCTTTGTGCGAGTGCAAAGGGATTTTTGTGGCTTGCCTTTTGCTGTCTTGCCTTGGATTTAATGAGCTGCGACACAATCGTCATGGAGGGCCGAGGAGCAATCGTCCTGCTGCCAACAATGGCGCGCATTTAGTTGACAGGGTCGAAAGGGACACGCCCCAAACCCCATCTACTCCCCTCTACCCACCCGATCCAAAGTCGACAAACTAAGCAAAAGTTTTTCAAGAAGCTGCGCTGGAAAAAATGAAATAAATTCCCGGCCAAGAATTCAAAGGCAGCAGGCAGTGCGTGCTCATTAGATCACCATTGTGCTGCATCCGGAACGGAGTATTACGGATTCCGGCTTCCGGAGTCGCTGGCACTTCCACTTCCCCCTCCTGCCCTTTCCGCCCACATCAATTTGTCGTGTCAACAGCAAAACTAATTTATTTACGAGCTCGCTTTAAACCCTGATTATTCATACGCACTTGTGGCCCCTTTCACCGTTCTTTGCCCCGCCCTCTGCCTCCTGAATCCTGAATCCTGCATCGTGTCCTGCATCCTCCGCCTCTGTTGACTTTCATTAGCTCAAATTACGCAAAAGTACTCGAGCGTCGCACGCATAAATCAGACGGCAAATCAAATTCACTTGCAGATGCAGTCCGCAGCCTCCATTTTCATCCTGCTGGCAGCCCATAAACGGCGACCTCGATTCGGACCATTGGCTGTTCCTATTACCTATCTGTACACAGGGAGATTTATATAGGGACAAGACATTAAGATTTAATAAAGGGTCGACCTATTCGACTCTACTAATTCAATCTAAAGTTGATCAAAATAAGATCATTATTAAATGAGTTTAAGAGAAAGAACAGAGCTTCCCGCAGTTTTCAATGTAAAAGTAATTCCCATGTAATACCTTACGATTTTCCTCAGTGTAGCCTCTATCTGTCACTGGCTATGCGGTAGCCACGCCCTGGTCATGTCGATGCCACCGCCTGTGTTTGGTTTACGTGCTTAAATTGGCAATTAGCAGATTAATTGTCACTGCCAATATATGCGTCAATATTTTGTGCAACCGACAGATGCAGTTGCATTGGCAGTGGCAGCAGCAGTGGCAGCGGCAGTGGCAGTTCACTTGCCATCGCACGTAGTACGTAGTTTGCTTTACGGCCCTGTTGTTTACACAATTGTTGCTCTGTTGCTGTTTGATTTCACTAACGAGCATTAGCATAAATTGCTCCAGTTGAAGGGAGCATATGGCATTCGGTATGCGGCATTCGATATTCGATGCGTTTGTGTGCATCATTTAGTCCTGGCCACTGCGAACCGAAATGAACGGGAACTGTCAAAATTTTCGACACAGGAAAGCCCGACCATTCGGGCATTGTGCGAGTCAATCAATTGTAAATTTTTAATGAGTTTTCATTCTGCACTGGGCGGACTGACCATCGACTGACTGACGGAGCAGGATGTGGCCAGTGGCCACCAGGGATGTGGTTTTTGGCCCGCATCCTCGCTTTCTGACTAAGCAATTTGTCACACTAATTAGCTGCTGCTGCGGTTGCCCGCTAGATGGCGTCGGGCCATGTCACAAATATTTCCCATACGCCACCGCTCCCTTGCAGCGCATAAGCGATGCAAATTGGTTTGTAAATGAGCTGTGGCCAGGCAATCGGTCTTCCATCGAGGATTATCTAATGCTTTCTCAGATTATTACCAAAGATAAACTGGATTTACATCAAAGAGAAAGGGATTTTAAAAGGTTTTTTCAATAATTTATTATTTGAGGATCGTGTCTTCCTTCTTTTGTAGCATTAACCATTTAATAACATATTTAAATATTTAATAACCAACCCATTTACTTATTTGTTATCTAGCCAAGGGTATCCTTTGTGCCCAGTATCCTTTTCCATCTTGTCTCCGCTCTGACCGCAATAATTTCACACAAAATATTTCCGCAACACATCGTCGATGGCAGCTCCTTTGCCAGTCGCCTCCCGCTCCTCAAGAGGATGTCCTGCCATGCTTGTCCTTGCTGCTCCTGCATTTCACTTGACTTCACGTCCTCATCCAGCTGCAACTTATCATTTTATAAGCATTTGTTTTTCCTCTTGTTTCTGTGTTTGTTTTTGTTTTTGTTTGTGTTTGTGTTTCTGTTTTTGCTTGCCTGCTCCGACCCGTGTTGTTTTTTCTGTGTGCAGCATAACAAAATATTTTGTTGCACTTTGTTCTCTCTTTTTCCCTGGCCCCCAGTGAGCACTTTATGTGACAGACACTTTAAAATGTGGCAAAGTGCTCTTTTTGGCAAGCCCTCCTCGATGCCATCCCCTGGCCACAGGCTGCCCCCCTTCTTGAGGGCCATTCCAAGGCGGAATTAATGCAAATTATGTGCCACGTAAACTAATTTTTATAAGGGCTACTGGCCTACGATTTACGAGCCCTCGCACTTGCCGCAATCCTTTCATAACATTCGGCGACCATTTTATTGCCCGTTTGCTGCCACTTAGGAATGGGGCGAGAAAAAACCCAAAAAATACCGCGTGGCGCATTAAAATGTTGCCCAACCATCCAACTCCAAGGCCCCCGATCCTCTGGGCACTCAGAGAAGTTGATAAATGTATTTATTTGGGAAGGTTTTTATATGTTTTATTTAAGTTTAGCTATTTTAAGATGGATTAGTACAAAATGGGCTATAAAATAAAGCTTCAAAGAGGGTTAATAGATATAAAAATGGAATTTAACTTAATTTTTAGATTTAGTTGCAGTTTATTTTTGAAATGACAGATCCCTTCTGTGGTTCTTAAAACATGCTGAAATGGGCACATTTATTTCTTAGAGTGTAGCAGTTGTTGTTCAAGCTGAAATTTATATTAGGCCAACAAAGTCGCCCTGCGAGAGAAGGAGGTGGAGGGAGTGGGAGGGGAATAGGGCTGCCTTTGGCGATGGCGCCTGCTCTCAAGTGCTCATAAATTCACGAAAATTTCACAGCCGCCGACGGACCAACAAAATAAAAAGCGTCGACAAGGGCAGAGGTTTTTGGCAGGGCGGTGGGTTTGGTGTGGAGGGGGTGTGGCGTCAGCTGTTGCAGCCCTTGGCCAGAAGACCCTTCCCCAATCCCCAAGGCACCGAGCATATCCCAGCGTCCATTTCCAGCGGCAGTGGCACACACTCGACTTTGGTTTGGCAACATAAATTGTTAAAGAATTGCCACTTTACAGTCGTAAGGAGCACATAAGCCGGACAAATAAAAACCCTTTTGCCACGTCCAGCCAGATCCTTGAGGTGGGTCCTTGGCCAGCGGGGATGCAGTGGAGCAATCAGTCGCAGACCTCGGATTGGATGTCATAAAAATGCCATCCACGAAAAGGGAGCATTTAAAGCTGCGTTGGCGGTGGCGTTGGCTCTTTGTCATCATTATGGCATCCAATTTGTACTCAATAAAAGCGCCAATTCAACCATGATGAGAGAGCGATGCTCGATGTCCTGCCAGTGAGTCCTGGCAATTGTTTTCCATCAAAGCAACAGCATGTCCCGGGAATGAGCTACGGACCACGGACCACCGACTGCCTGCCAATCTTCTGAAGGATGCTGCAATTTTCGGCATCCAGTTGGTCATCAGCTATCTTCTGTGTGTCCGTGTGTCCAAAGTCCGTGTCCGTGTCCGTGGTTCGAGGTTCGAGGTCCTTGCATGTGAAGTGCCGTGATTTATAAGCGCTTTGCCGGCGATAACACAAGTGGGCTGGACGAACAAACAATGGCCACGAGGATAGGATAGACTGGACGCAGCAGCACACATGCAAATTCCACATTCCACATACACAGGACCTCCTTTCAATTTTCTTTGTACGGTTTTGCGGTCGCTTGGTTTTCCGGCAAATTTTTATCTCAAGTTTCGGGGGCCCCGTTGACAATAAAAATGGCAATAGGACGGCGGAGGCCATCGCAACCGCACAAATGCCAGGCCGAAGTCCGTTCCTCCTCGCCCATATCATTAATTTTGCACAAAAGGACGAAATGTCCTTTTTGCCAAGTGCAGAGCCGGGACGACGGCGGCATCCTTCGAACGGACCAGCAAATAAATAAGGCAAGCAGCCGGACTTTGTTGGGCATTGGCAGCTTCTGCGGTTGGGATTGCCTTGGTTTTGCACAGAGAGAAATAACTATGACTTTTCATCTCCTAAAATAATAAATCTTAAATTATAATTTTTTATTTAAAAGTAACATAAAAATGCTTTAAATTGATTAATTAAAGGTTAAAACATATAATCCCTGTCGAAGGCTAAATGAAATGCTGCATTTTAGAACCAACACTTTTCTCGCAGTGCACGATGGAACTGCGGTTGAGGTCAAGCCGAAAGAAGAGGCTGCAACACGTTCGACATTTTGCGGTGGCCATGCTGCGTTGGGTTTTGCCAAATTGAAATTGTTTTGCCAAAACAACGGCTCTGGAAAGGCAACTAAAAGCAAAGCCCCACTGATTGGAAGGTATAAAGAAGCGATATTCCAGACAAACCGCATTTAATTAGCAAAAGAAAATCTTAATTAAACCTCTCTTTGCACTGCTTGGCCAAAATTAAACCCGTATTTTCACTGCTTGACTTACATTTATTATACTCAACCATTCCACTGCTTAGCTGCATTGTTACACTGCTTGCCAAAGGTACAACAAGCAGTCACTGTGGTGAACAGCAAACCGAAATGTTGCCACCTTGTTAGAAAAACATCACAAGCAGACAGTGGTGAGCATTGCCCTTTGAATTTGTGTCAAATTCGTTCGAAATAATAGATTATATTTTATATAGCTTTTGGGAAATCCAGGGAACACATTATAAGCCATAATGTCCGAGCCGAGACAGAACGCGGCGGCAAGCGATAGAAAAAACTCCAAGGATCGAAAACATTCAGTACCCGTTAGGAAGTCAAGGCGCCAATTCCAATGCTGCGTCGCCAGAGAATGTAAGCTTACAGGGTATCATTGCGGGGTATTTGAGTGACTTCCTGTCCCTTTCCATTGCAGACTACAGTGAGTACTCGAACTTGGTGGACTCTCTGCACATCATGCCACGCATGATGGTCCACCAAAAGGGCTTCAAGGTCAACAACACGTACGGCCTGACCCTTAATATCAAGAACACCGGAGTAGTGAGTAGGAAACTTAGGATAATAATAGTTTATATATCAAAATACAATAACAATAACATCCCTTCCTTCCATAGTTTCCCCGCTTGGTCAATGTGACCACCGACAGTCCCGAAGACACCTCCATTTCCATAGCAGAACTGGACCTTCATCGCTACTTGGACACCGATGAGACCCTGGAGGTGAAGATCTGGATCCGGGCGACTTCCAAGCGGGATATCAACCGCCGACGCCACATCCTGATCGAGTGCTACCACCCTAATATCATCTTTCAAGTGCCCATAATTGGTATTCGAATGGGATCGTAATGGGCCCGAAGTCTAATCGTACTCCTCCGCAGTTCTGGACAAGCTGAAGTTTCCCTCGATCAGCGACACTGTCACCTTTCCCAGCTGTGTTCCCGGAAACAAGACGCACTACGAGATGATCATCTACAATCCCACCAAAGATCTCGTCAGAGTGCGTTACAGAAAGTAAGCAGCACATCGCATCCTTCTGCAAGGATCCTTCTCGAAGGATATATGGTTTATGTAATTATTTCCGCTATTACTCCTATTTCCCAGTACCAATCGTGGGCTAGACATCAATGACAACAACAAGGACCTGCTGCCGCCCAGGGATTACGCGAAGCTCCTCCTGATCATCCACCCGCAGAAGCTAAATGTCTACAGAGGATTTTTCAACGTTAAGTTTGGAGTTTGTAGGTATCCTTCTCTGCTGTAGATATGGAACAACAACCTGTCCCCTATTCCTACCCTTCGCAGTGCCCCCCAAGCCGGTGATGTTTGTTTTCACGCCCAAGTCAATGGGAGTGCACCTGAGTGTGGGCAGCGTGGCCTTCGGGATGACCAAGTTCTCGCGCGAGGAAGTGCGCACGGTGACCGTGTGCAACGAGAGTCCGCACGAGGTGTTCGTCAACGGGGACTTTCACTCGGAGCCACAGGCCACAGTGACGGAACCCTTTGCCCTCGATAAGGAGGATAGACTTTCGAACAAGCTGATCGACGATGCCGTCAGCATGCACAGCGTTCTGCTCTACGACTTCGAGGAGCAGACGAGTGTGCAGGACGTCCTGATTGATGCAAATGCCGTCAAGCACTTTGACTTTACAGTGCCCAACAGGATCTTGGCTGGAGTTTCGGAAGACATTAAACTGATCTTCCGGCCGAGCTACGACGCCGAAAGTCCGTTTCCAGAGGACGCGGATCCTCCGTACTTCCAGCGCACTCGAGTCTCATTTTGCTTCAGCGACGTCGAGGATTGCATCGAATCGCACAACGTCATCCTGTCTGGCTTGATCGGGGGCATCGAGGTGGAGTTCCATCCGAAGGTGATTGACTTCCGGAAGATCTATCTTGGCGAGGAGCACTGCGCCCAGATCAAAGTACTCAACTCTGATGGTGAGAATGCGATTTAAATTGTATAAACCTTGCTTGATTTCCACGGCTTACCCCAAAGATGTGCCTGCCAAGGTCGTGTACACAGATTGTTCGGAACCTGATGCGGCCGGTATCCGCATCACGCCCGTAGAAGGATTCGTCCTGGAGCCTTGCACCCGCGGCATCTTCAACATGTCCTTCTACTCCTTGTTTCCCTCCCGTTTCACGAACACGCTGCGCTTCAAGGTGGAGAATGGAGGCCACTACAAGATCACCCTAAAGTAACTATTAAGAAGGCTGACCCCGAACTGCTCTTCTCCAACCATAATGATCTCCTACAGGGGTACAGGTCAGCCCGTCCAGCTACGCACCTTCCCCCAACTGGTGGAGTTCGGGAGTATTCCGATGGCAGTGCCCCAGAAGCGGTACATGCTGCTGATGAATCCCCTTGCTGTGCCCATAACGCTGCAGGTGAAACCCACCGACGATGGCGAGGAAACGCCGTTGGTCCTCAACATACGCAGCTCCACGGAAATGCTGCCCATAACAGTGAGGGATCCCATAAAACATCTCCAGCAGGTACACGAGGATTTGCAGTCCCAGGAGACGATTGAAAGTAAGGAAGTCCGCCTCACGATCACGGAGTCAGAAGCTATGTCCTTTCAGTCCGTCAAGATGAGCGAGTCCACATACAGTATGGAGTTTGAAGAGGAAGTTATGGGTGAGCCGTAGATTGCTATTATACAGAACTCCACCTAATTCCCACATAGAACCCATTCCTCAGATGGCTGCCCATCTGCTGACCAGCCTGAAGAAGCAGAAGATCTTCGACAAGTCGGAGACCGATCGCAGAGTTATCCAGGAAGCGATGCTGGGCCTGCTCAACACCAAGTACTTCTCGGTGTTTACCAAGCACAGCAACTACATATTCATGGACTGGAACGCCGTGCCCAGCGATCCACGGGAGGTGTTCTGCGACAATGAGATAATCTACCTGCGTCCGAACACTGGTCGCAGCATCACCATCCTGCTGGTGCCGAACAAGGTTGGCTACTTCCATCGATCGCTGTCCGTGCGCATCTGTCCAGCCATCCCGCCACCTTCTTTGGACTCCAGCGATGATCACCCCATCATGAAGAGTCTCATCAAGTCGGAGTTCCTCTGCTCAAAGCTCTGGTTTGAGTACAACTGCGTCGTTCCCGATATTGTATGGTCCAATTTGGTGGACCTCTCGCAGCGCATCATTTACGCTGGAGAGGATTACGACTTTGAGATGACATTCTCGAACCGCTCCATTATCGGCGCCTTTATTCACTACGACGTCATTGTAAGTACAAGGAGTCGCCTATGCGTCCTCAACCTTCCTTTATTTAACACCTTAACAGCCCACCGACATGTCCTTTCGCGACGGCACTTGGAAGTTCTTCGTTGACGGTGGAGTGGACATAACTGCCCAGTGCGCGGTCACCTTCCGCTCGCTGGGCAGTACCCGGCTATCGGGTCTGGTGAAGATCGTGGGCGCCAACCGGCCGTACGCCTTTCACCTGTTTGCCAACGTACTGCCCACGGAGATCCGGGTAAATCCGTCGTACGTCCACCAGCGCCTGCAGGTCTACGAGAAGAGCGTGGTGCACTTCTACATCGACAACTATACGCCCACACACACCAAGCTCAGCATGAGACTGGTAAGCTGCTCGGATTTTAAGACCCAGACTGACTATTTGAATCCTCTTCCTTAGAAAGATATAGAATTCCAGTATCTGACATTGCGGGGCGGATCTTTGGCACCTACGGGACAGAGCACGTACACCTCCCTGGTGTCGATGTTCACCGACCCCGATCTGTACCAGAACATCCTGTACATCGACCTGCAGTTCGACAATGTGATGATGCTTCCCATCACTTTCCTGGTCGAGGGCGTGCCTCTCTATTTCGAGCCCGATATCCGACAGGGCTTCTACGCAGGGCTGCTGTTCACCGACACCAAGGAGCAGTTCCAGGATGGCATCTACCAGCACCGCTTCCCAATCCGGGTGATTAACAAAGGCCACCGCTCGTACCGCATTTTAATCATTCGGTTGAACACCTATGGGCCGGGCGCCAATACAACATCCGCCTGCTCCACCAACGCTCTGACCTCCCGATTCGACATGGAGCCGAAAAACATCTTCATGTCGCCCAGTTGCGAAAGTCAGCTGGACATCCTGGCCAGCTCGTATGTTGAGGGACATGCCACCGGCGACTTCCTGCTGCAGGTCATCGACCAAAAGTACCCACAACGCAAGCACATCATACGGGTCAGAGCATCCGCAGACTTTATGGACTGCCAGCTCCTTTGGAACCCCAAACAGGTGTGCACTTGTTTATTTAATATCTAAGTTAATCTAATTAATTTAAGGATGTTAAGTCCTAAAAAAGATTTCTCTCATTTAATCGATAAATCTATTAATACCCGAAGGTGAACTTTAACTACAAGCGCTGTGAACCCCTAAAGGAACGATCTTATGTGGAGACGCCTCTTCTGGTGAATCCCTGTTCGAATCCCGTCCATAATGTTACACTCCAGGTGATCGGCCCCTTCAAAATCAAGGAGTTCTACGAGGACTCCTACGAGAAAGAGTTGCAGATCAGTTTGAAGAGTGTGGAACGAAAGGATATCTTCGTGATCCTCAACAGAGGAGCCCTGAAGCAACCTTTCTGTCGCCAGCTCGAAGGTCGAATCAATGTGATGGCTTTGGGGAAGCAGTTAAAGTCCCTCCCACTGCGCGTGGCCGTTATGGTGCCGGATGTGGTGATCCTGCAGCCGGATCTAGTCCTCTTCGATCGGGGCAAGCCGTACGATAGTAGCATCAATCTGGTCAACCAAGGTTGCATGCCAGCCGATTTCAAGTGGAGGAGGTTGGAGACCACCGAGATGTATATCGGTGACGAGGATGATCCGGAAGGCATTGCTGCGGAAATCCTATCTGAGCTTCTGCGCATGCTGGAATACGATTTTAGCTGCGAGGATCAGCCAAACATGACCAAAAGATACCAGGAGTGTCTCTGTCAGTTCCGTCGATTTCAGGAAAATGGTGATTTTATTCTGGAAATCCTGGAGGAGGTGATCAACGAAATGGATTTAAGGCACCGGCCATTGCTCTTTCCGCCGAAGGATCCCCTCGACGATGAGGAGGACAGGGATCAAAGCTCATCGAGTGTCGTGCGGGAAACCATCTCCGACATCCTCAACCGCCTGCACATCGAATCCAGTGAAAGGTGGTCAGATCCTTCCTCCGAGTATTGCTTTGCCAGTCGGTACATCTACTTCTACGAGAAGAGGGGCATCGTGGAGGGCCGCAGATCTGGAGTGCAAGCTCTACCTGCCACACATTCGGCGGAACCGCGAGATGCGGGCCGTTTTCGAGTTGTCCCTCCTGGGCGGACGAAGTCAGCGGTTCACTGTCACGCTGGTCAATCTGCCGCAGAAGATAAAGTTCCACAAGGACAGCATCTACATGGGTGTCAAGGTGAGTATAGCCTTAAAGTATAATCTTTTTGAGAGCCTTCAATATACCAACCTTTATCCACAATGTAGCCCTGGTACGAGTCTTACGATACGACGGTGCGTGTCACCAACATGACCAAGTATCCGCTCCAACTAGTTGTGGTCGAGATGAAGAACCCGCCACCAAAGGAGCAACCACAGGAGAAGCGTCTGGTAGACGGCTACTGCAAGATGATGACCAGCGATCTGATGCACCTGGATCCGCACGGAGCGGATCAGATCCGGGTGAAGGGCATCCTCGGGTTTAGCGAGAGCTTTCGACATACTTTTGGAGCGATGATCAACAACAGTGACTCCAACCACTTCTGCCTACGGGGACAGGGAGTGCTGCCCATGCTGGAGATGACATCCTCACTGCCCAGCACTCCCTTGGATGCTCTGGAAGTGGAGGAGGAGTACAGAATGTTGCAGAAGATCTACCACTATGAGATCTTTCGATCGATTACCGAGGTGGATGAAGAGTCGAAACCTGCAGGAGGGGAGGAGAAGGAGAACCAAGTGGAGGATTATCCATCCATAAGCGAGGATTTTTCTATGCTGTCATCCTCGGAGGAAGAAATGTCTTCCGAGCGCAAAAAACTGCACGACTTGCAGCTCTTCCGTATGGTCCACACCTACGTGATGGTAAACAATAACCAGGAACTGCCACATGCCACTGTCCTGAGGCAACTGATTCTGGCGGAGAGGTATTTAAAGCAGCTCCGCTCCAAGCCTGAGTTGTACGCGGTGCATCAGCAGGTCTATCAGACCTACCAGAAGATGCACAAGGCGCCGGGCCTCAGGCAGCCTGCGATGGTCAAGCACTTCACCGTTCAACCCATTCCATGCCAGCAACACGGATTCATCCTGGACTTGGGTTCCTTGCATAGGAACACCATTCGGCGCTTCAAGATCCAGCTGCACTTCTTTGGTCCTGGAAAACTTATTGCGGCTGCTCGCACTGCTGTTAGGATTCCGGGCCTCTATGTGGATTTCAATGTGACAGATGCCAGGCAGTAAGTAATGGTCAGGGAGGTTGCTTCTTAATAGGGTAACCTTTAAATTCCTAACCTTAGTGCCGATAAAAAATTCTCATTCTGGGCTGAGAAGTGCACGGCGCTCGAGTACTTCAAGGACAAGTACAGGAACATGTTTGAGCGCCTGCTGGACGCGGAGCAGGATCCAAAGCTGAAACACGCCCACTCCTTTGACTTGGACACATTGGTCAAGCACCAGCGAGATCTGGCGCCGAAGGATCGTCGTTTGATCGAGGAGTATTACAACAGCCTGAATCCCTCAGTTTATCCGGACCACAAGCACCACTTCACCCTGGCTAAGATCTTCTCGGGCTGCTTGTCCAACTATTCCGGGGTGGACGTGACTATGGTCGGATTCTTCAAGCCAGAGTCGCGTTTCTATGAGAAGGACCAGCTTGTGGAGGACTACCTCTTCATAGATGTGAGTAACTTTGACCTAATCTTTATAAATATTTAACTATAATCCCGAAACCGCAGCTGCACATGGGTCCTACGCTTCCTGTCCTACTGAAAGGCGTCCTCGTGTCCTAAAAAGTCTTGAAATTTTATATGCATTTATTGTGGGGTTTAGTTCGGAGTGGATGGGTGGGTTTTCTTAGTCTTATGTGCAGTAATAAAGCTTATACTTTGGGAGAGGCGAAAGCCCTCAGCAATACATGTTAAGCTGGCGGAAAAAGTAGTGGAAGATGAGCAGCACGCAGAAGGAGCTGGTGACGGGCAGACCAGCCGCTTTGATCCATCCGAGAATGTTGAAGTCGTCCGGGTAGAATTCGAACTGTTCCGTAGGAATCTCCCCGCAGTTTGAGATAACCACAGGCTCCACCGGGAAGTCGTCGGTGTCCGTTTTAACCTTGAATGGAAGCAGGAAATAGGGTGACAAATTTTCATTTTTGGGTGTTTTCTTGAGCTTTACGTTGATGATGGTATTTCATTTATTTTTATATACTCGTATATTTTTTATTATATTTTTACCTTTTTTTTCAACATTTAATAGTCAATATAAGCCTCTGTTATGTTTTATATTTTTATGTAAAGGAAACATTGTTGACAAGAGTACTCACATCCTCGATAGCGTAGATAGTTTCCATTCCCTCCAGAACCTTGCCAAATACGGTGTGCTTCCCGTCCAGCCATTTCGCGCCCACTGTTGTCACATAGAACTGGCATCCATTAGTATCCGGACCACGATTGGCCATGCCCAAGTAACCCGGCCTATTGTGCTCCACGGCCAAGGCCTTATCCTCGTCTGGGAAGTACTCCCCGTAGATGCTAATGGAGCCAGTTCCGTCTCCATTGAGGATATCGCCACCTTGGACAAGAAAGCGGTCCACCACGCGGTGGAATCGGGAACCAACGTAGCTGGTGCCATTCACACCGCGCAGGCAAAGGTGTCGGAAATTTGCCACAGTTTTGGGAGCCAACTTCCCGAATAATCCAAAGGTGATTCTGCCCACCGGCTTCTTGTTGTGCTTCACATCCATGTAGATCCGCGATGTCACCGTGAAACTCAGACCACTGGCAACGGCCAAAAAAGAGCAGCACAGGACTATCAGCTGAAGGCACTTCATGTTGTGGCAGACTGGGGTTCTCCGGTCTCAACGCACTGATGAAATACAGAAAACTAAAACGAAGACTCGGTTGTGGAAATTAGAGAAAGTGAGAACTGTGAATTCTGGGTCGCAGGGCCTGGAAACGGAAGCCGTAGAAGTTCCAGGTTAAGTGCAAGCAGCGCATGATGATGGCATACCCCCAGAAAACAAATCGATTTCAGCACCCGGCAGAGAGTATCTTTTTCTGATGTATTCAAACTTGTCGACTATCTATTAAACACTTTTTAAACACGCTTTTAAATAGTTTGAATTAAACAAAAAATGGTTATACACATTTTAAATATTTATGTTTTTTAATGTGGTCAAGCCAACCTTTCCATCCATCCATAAAAACCCCTTATTCCAAAATATTATAGCATGTCGTTATACACAGTAACCAAAAATAATGATTTTAAAATGAATTTTAAGTAGAAAATATTAATAAAAGCGGAAGCATATTTGTGTTTCATCATACGACTTGGTCTTTAATTGTTTAATTATTAACTTATAAATACGTAACTTTATGAATAACCTGACTAAGCTAAGAGGGGCATACAAATTCGAATGGATCCTTCAGTATAAGTACACAGCAACAATATGCTGCCTCTTGGGGTTGTGAGTTCAACGCAAGTCTTAGACTAAAAACTTAGCGATAGACAAAAATATAGAAAATACATATATACACTTAGATTAGGCAACTAACAGCGGCTAACCTGGCTACAGTCTTCATTTGGGGCTTGGTTCCTCCTTTAAGCGTCTGAGATCTATACAACTGAATCTTCCGCAGAAGATTCGGCTAAGTTCTACAAGCGGTTCTTCTGCGGATGCACGTACTTGCAGTTCTTGCCCATGTTGCAATGACCTCGCATGAATTGCTTGCAGACGCCGGTGTTTCCACCGCCTCCTCCTCCTCCTCCTCGGTTGGAGCCAGATCCTGCTGACCGCCAGTTGCCGCCGGAGTTGTCCTGGAAGTTGTTCCCACCGCTGCGCCAGTTTCCGCCGCCATTATTTTTGTTTCTATTGTTGTTTCTGGGTCCTCCTCCGTTCTGCATTGGACCCATTCCGTTTGGTGGTCCGTTCATCATAGGTCCGTTCGGTGGTCCGTTCATCATTGGACCATTAGGTCCCATAACAGGACCATTGGGTCCCATCATAGGGCCGTTGGGTCCCATTACTGGACCGTTGGATCCCATTCCAGGTCCTGGTCCTGGGCCGTTCATCATCATTGGCGGGAATTGATTGAATCCAGGTGGGCCACCTCCGAATGGCGGCGGTGGACCTTGGTTGCCAAACTGATTGCCCATAAAGTTCGGTGGAGGCATGTTGTTCATGTTATTCATGTTGTTCATGTTATTCATGTTATTCATGTTGTTCATGTTGTTCATGTTGTTCATGTTGTTCATATTGTTCATGTCCATGCCAGGACCGGGACCATTCATCATGGGCGGTACACCTCCCGGGCCCATTTGATTCTGCCAGATTTGCGGCGGTCCGTTGGGAACCTGATTTGGCATTAGATTGGGTGATGGTGGCATACCTGTTGAAGATGGCATGCGCACCATGAAGGGATCAAATGGATTTTGCATCATATTCGATCCAGGTCCCATTCCCTGCATCATGTTGTCATTGAAACCCATATCCGCTGGTCCGTTGTTATTCGATCCGATTACCGAGCTGGGTGCATATCCCTTTGGCTCTGGCCATGCTAAGGTACTATAATCATTGACGGCATCTGGATTCCCAGTTAGATCATCCATGGGTATGACAGGAATGTCGTGAGCAAAATGCGGCTCCAGTTCCGCCTCCGCAGGGGTGTCGGGTATCATGTCGGGCGAAAAGTATAAAGCTCTTAGCGTAGTAGCCTCTCTATCCATCTGCACCTGCCGTTGCTTTGAGAGATTTCCATTCGGATGATCAGGCACATTGTCCACCTCGATTAGATTACGCCACTCCATTTGAGGCTCCATGGTATCATCGAACCCTCGTCTTGCAATTGTTAGAGCATCCCGCTCGCTGAACCGCTCCATGTTCTTCATTTCCAGGAACGTCTGTTTCATCACATTTACGCGCTCCGATCGATCGACCTCGAAGTACCGAATCTGGGTAAGTTTATCCTCCGGCTGCCATGTGAGCTTCTTTTTCGGCCCCTTACGGCGATGCAGCATTAGGACGCCAGGCGGTCCATCGGGTCCACAGCCTGGTCCCGGTTTTCTTGGCTCCTCGGGAATATCTTCAACGCCATCAGTGGTAATCCCTTCGCCAGATTCGCCTGCAGCTGCCTTCTCCTTTTGAACCTTCTGCTCGATGTCCTCCTTTACTCTCTTAAGGGGAATGTCATCGTCATCGGCATCTGTGTCCTTGCCAGGCGACGCAGATCGAGCATCGTCGTTTTCCTTGCTGCTGTCGTCCGACTTCTCCTCGCTCTTAGACTCGTCTAGGGTGTCCTGGTAGAATTTAAGTGGCGCCAGCGGCGCATCCTTGTCCGTGGGCGATGACGCAGACGCCGGTCGCTTGCGCTTGACCACCTTCTTGGGTTCAATAGAGGCGGCCAAGGCATCTGAGAACAGATTGGTCTCCACCAGGGTTTGAACTAGAAGAGGAAAAGAAAAGTAAGTAATCGCACTAGTAATTTAAATTGGTTAATAGTTTTAATAGTCTTCTCCGAAATGCCCGATTGGTGGTTTTTGCTTTTGCTGGAAATTAAGGAAAGTAAACAAACTCGAGGTCAAAGATATAGTAATGTCACAATCCAATGGTTGATAATGGGGGTCTTTACTTGAGTAAACAACGAAAGGCTAACAGAACCTGAATCATTAAAATACGAGCTCTTATAAAAGTGGAAAATCTTTCATTTAACCAGTAAGAGCTTGTGCTCTCAAGAGAATCATGTTTTTTGATCATCATTTAAGCAATTATTTTGCAATAATTCGATAAAAATGTAATAGGAAATCGGTGCAAAGTTGACTTGACCTAAAATATTATTTACATTTTTTTTTCTTAATCGATTTAAAAGAAATTTTGTTTTTGAAAGAGAATTTTCTTACATTGTTTTAGACCTCAAATCAATATATTGTTTATCAGAATTGAAAACCAATGACTAAGAGTTAATTGTTAATGGCAGGGTTTTTATTATTGTCAAGTGTCAAAGTGCAATCCATAAGTTACAATTTCCTTATGTACAAATTTGAAAGGTCTTGATTACATTTGTGTCATATATTAGTTAGTAGCCTATAAATGCACAAAAACGAATCTTTAATCTTCAAATGAATATTAATATATATATATAGACAGCGATCAGATAACGCTTACTAAGCAGCTTTAAGCCGAAGTGGCCCATCTACCGTGATGTAGCACTGCCCTTTGGAGTGGGAAACGGGGGGATACCCTTATCTAACGAGGCAAACAAATATGGCGACCCTCGGTGACGCACGACAGCAAAATCGAGGCCAAAGCGAAGCAGCTGGGATTCATGCCCACGGGGTGGAGATCCACCTACCAAACTTCTAGAACCGCCAGCTCAAGTCAATATTTTCGTTTTAGTTTCTTTTTCGCTCAATGCGTTTTTTATTCAATAGAAAAATTGTATTTTTCTAGAGATAACCGTATTTTATTTGTAAGTCTTTAGATGGGCTGGTCGCCAAGTGAATCTACATACCTTATAGCTAAGCTAAGCTAAATACGTTCAAGATTTCAGTTGGATACTTAACACCAAGCGTCGGCGGCAGCGTCTGTGCCTCAGATTTCTTTTCGTTTTCGGTATCAGCGCATGCGCAGTGCCCAGACTTCGGGGCTCAACATCATCCGTCGTCATCCGGGGGCAATGTCCTCTACTCGCACTCGCGCTTCCGTACTCTATCTTGATTCATGGATAACACCATTCGAATCGCAAACAATTTATACATAAAAATGCTAAATAGCCACAATAACGCCCCACTTCTGCACTTTAATTTAAGACCCACCCCAAGCAAAATTAAACACCTTGAGAGGAGAGATCAACAAATAATACGGCGGAGTACGATATTCGACTCCGATCGAACACAAAAGCAAAAACCACCAAAGTCTCCAGGGCTGTGAAGAAAATTAGAAAAGAAAGAACATTAATAGGATTTCTCGAAATCAAATGCTTACTCTTTTTGGGTGCGATCAGCTTGGCGGCTCCGGGCCGCTCCACATGGCCGGCGATTGTGTTCATGTCGATCTTGGCCTTCTTCTCGGTGGGCGAGTCCCTGGGCGGGGGTGAAAGACGCTTCATTGGCGGCGGTACTGCCAACAGAGTAGGCGGGGCGGAAGTCGTCGACGATGTGGGCTTTTTTAGACCCTTGCGCGATGGAGGTGGCGGCGCCTCTTCCGTCAGGCCATGCGATCTAAATTTAGACTGGTACGTCTTTACGGTAGCCGTCTTTTCAGTGTCCCGGCGAATCTCTATAGAAATGGAAGCCTTTCTGGACATGATGGGTATGGACCTAGACTTCTGTGCCTCGGATTCTTTGGATGAAGCAGTAGGAGATGAAGCTGCAGCTGGCGCCATTGCGGGTGGAGGCATCAGCTTGTTATCTTTGTCCTTCTCCTGCTTTGAGGATGAGGACGATGACGAAGTCGACTTGTCTTTACGATCTTTGGACGAACTAGAACTAGAACTAGAGCTCGACGACGACGACGATGAAGAGGACTTTGAGGACTTGTGTTTATTCGAGGAAGAGGAGGACGAACTGCTGCTGCGCTCCCGGTCCTTGCTTGAACTAGAGGAGCCGGAACTGGAACGAGCCTTGTCCTTATCCCTGTACTTATCGCTAGAACTGCGATGGGAGGAGGAAGAAGAGGAGCTCTTGGAGGAACTACTCTTCGAAGAGGAGGACGACGATGAAGAGGAGGACTTATGGCTAGATGAGGAGGACCTGTGACTCGAGGAACTCTCCTTCTTCCTATCCTTTTCGCGGTCCTTTTCGGACCGCTTACTCTTATCGCTTTTGGCGCTCTTATGCTTCTTATTATCAACGTCCTCCCCGGACTTAACCTCTGCCGCTGAACAACTATCATCTAAAGTGGACTTTTTCCCCAGACTGATATCGGCCGCAGAAACATCTTCCTGTGGCTCCTCCCCGTCTTTTTGGACTGCTGCGGAGTCAGTTTCATCTCCGCCTTCTGGTTTATCCACAACCGGCTTCCATTTGATGGTTATGCTATTGGAATTGCTGCTGTTAGCCGCTGAAGTGATGGTATACGTCACGGGTGCGCCGGCACTATCCGTGCTGTCTGAAGAGGAAGCTGAATCCGGAATTGGAACGGCAGCAGCTGCAGCAGAAGTCTGGAGAGCAGCAGATGCTGTGCTCTGAGCCCCAGCAGGCTGGAGCATCACACTTGTGTTCTCCGTCACAATCTTCAGCCACTGCTCTACCAAACGTTTGGCCAAAATGCGAACACCTGGAAAACGGGGTCGAAAAAGGCAATTAGTAATCCCCAGGTAGAAAAATAGGTAAGCAGGATTAAAAGCAGTGCAGAAACAGGATTCAACAAGAACGATCAAGGCTGAACAGGCTTGAAAAAGGACTAAACAAATCCGAAGTACTCGAAACTTACCTTCATTGCCGCCATCCTTGCAAAGACCCTTGACCAAAATGGGTGCCGAGTTTATCTTCAGCCGATTGACATCTACGGGGGAGAGGAGCAACAGTTCCAGGATTTCCTGAACCAATGGCCAGTTCATCGCCCTAATTGCGTCGTTTAGCCAAGTGTAGACCAACGACCAACCGCCCACGGCCATAAAATCTCCCAGTAGTTCCGTCTTCGTGGATTTCAGTATTTGTACATAAACACATTTCGAAACGAGTTTTTTCGAATATTTGGCCATTAAGCTGCGGGGAAAAATGTTCACAGGAAAAACAATATATTAGTAACAGCCGCTAGAGGTCGCTCTTATTTGGCCTACTTACCCCGATATGCGCTTCACCTCCACTGGGCTTAGTATCCCACCATTGTTGTCCAAAAGCACCCGCAGGCACCTTAGCAATTGCAATGGCACTATGCGAGGCTGTTAAAATAAAATAATAAATAAATAACTAGGATTAAACTATGCTGCTAATGTTTTGTTAAACTTACCATTTTCCTTTTTCTTTTTTTGTTTGGGGACAAATAATCTGGCAACGCTATAAGCACTATTGCCGTCTCTCTCCCCCACTTGCAGGTATGACCATATGCGCACGTGCGTGTGTATGTGTACGTGCGTGCGTATAGTGACGCTGTATTGTTGGTGTGCGTGATTTAATGGATAATAAATTTCCACAGATTACGTAATTCCATTAACAATCGCTTTAGAAAGCCTTTGAAAAGTTATCTAGAATAGCAGAAAACACCAATCTGAGAACATATTTATCAAGATATAACTATAAAAGGAGCCTACAATTCACTTTTGCATCGAGTATAAAACAAATTCTGACTGATGGGGCCAGAAAATGAAATATTATTTTCTTTTATTTTATAAATTGGCAGTAAACCAACCCCTCCTTCGTAGAGATTTCTTGTTTTGCAGAGCAGCAGAAAAACGTGTTCTTCGCGATTTTTTCAAGCACTGTTGAAATGCGGAAATGTATGCAGCGCAGCTATCGGTAATCGATAAGCCAGAGCAACCCCGCGTGCTGTCCACTCTCCAAAAAGAAAACAATTTCTTAGAATAATTAAAACATGCGATTGCCTGAACGTTTGTAGTATGAATGAGTCTCAGCTTTCTGCTTTATTAAACCCAAAATGACTTTTGGGATAAACAGAAAGTGAAAGCTACTCAGTTTCGATTTTCTCCAGAAGGTTGGCAGCGCTCTGCCACGCACACAAAAATGACGCCATTTTGATTTTCACAATTTTTCACAAATGCGTAATTAAATTTTTACCAAATGAAATGCGAGATATATGCGTTTATATAGAAACTACAACAATTTCTTCCACTTTGTATTGATTATTTCCTTCGATAATGCTAATTAATTGGCTTTACGCCGTTTTCGTTCACGTCAACGCCCCTAAATTTGTGCGGCTGGCGGCATTATCCGCAGACACTTTGGTCGATATAATAATTTAATATGTCTACCAGAAAATATATAAGTGCAATTGTTTAAAGGCCTTACAATTTGTTAGATATTTTATTTGCGACGATCTTTCTTTTTCTCTGTCCGAAAATTCCTGCGTGCGCTTCGCTTATGTTAACAAATCGTGTGACCGTCCTTTGACTGTTGGAAATTATACCTAAATACTTCGTTGCTTAAAAAATGCCAAGAAGAAGGGATTTTAAATACCGCACAGTGAAAATGGTGGTTTAATTAGGTCACACAACTTTTTCCATCGATCTGGCAACTTTAAAAAACAAGCGTGCAAGTATATTTACCTGTATAAGATTTATTCTCCCAAGAAAACCAAAATAATGAGCGACAGCGAAACGGAGGACACAAAAATCAGCACAGAACCTGTGGACAATGCCTGGGCCATGAAAATACCGGCCTTCAAGCAGGAGGACAATCCACACGGCATGGTGGAGGAGAGCTCTTTTGCCACGCTATTCCCAAAATACCGCGAGCGCTATCTCAAGGAAGTATGGCCTTTGGTGGAACAGTGCTTGAGTGAGCACCATCTGAAGGCGGAATTGGACCTGATGGAGGGCAGCATGGTAGTGAAGACGAGCAGGAAAACATGGGATCCTTATATCATCATCAAAGCGAGGGATATGATCAAGCTGATGGCCAGGAGTGTTCCTTTTGAGCAGGCGAAGAGGGTCTTACAGGACGACATTGGGTGTGATATCATAAAAATTGGAAACCTGGTCCACAAGAAAGAAAAATTCGTGAAACGTCGCCAGCGTTTAATAGGACCCAACGGAGCCACCTTAAAGTCTATTGAACTGCTCACCGATTGCTATGTTTTAGTTCAAGGAAACACTGTCTCCGCTCTGGGCCCTTATAAGGGCCTCCAGCAAGTAAGGGACATTGTCCTGGAGACCATGAACAATGTGCATCCCATTTACAATATTAAAGCCCTCATGATCAAGCGGGAACTAATGAAGGATCCCCGCCTTGCTAACGAGGATTGGTCTAGATTCCTGCCCAAATTCAAGAACAAAAACATAAGCAAACGTAAGCAGCCGAAGGTGAAGAAGGCAAAGAAGGAATACACACCATTCCCGCCCAGCCAGCCCGAGAGCAAGGTGGACAAACAGTTGGCTTCAGGCGAGTACTTCCTTAACCAAGAGCAAAAGCAGGCCAAGCGAAACCAGGAGCGCACTGAGAAGCAGAAGGAGGCGGCCAAGCGGCAGGACGAACGCCGCAACAAAGACTTTGTACCGCCCACGGAGGAACCCGTATCTTCAAATCGCAAGAAGGAGGAAGCGTCTTCCCCCAACAAGGTAGACGTCAAAGCTCTCAAGGCCAAGCTAATAAAGGCAAACAAGAAGTCTAGAAGCTGATAGTTTTTATAGTTTTAATTAGCCGTAGGTTTATTCAATAAAAACAATTTTGTGAGCAAAATATCGAAATGAAAATTTAACTTTATTTACCTTGGATTACAAAATATATATGTGCCTAGTAAGGAAATATTAATTTCACATAAATTTTAGATATTTTATTTTTGCTTAGTTTAATACTAATATAAAGTGTGGGCTATTATTTCGACCGCGGCTGTAAGTACAGGGAAAGAGATCTCACTCTCTTATCTCGAGTGAGTCAAGTTAATAAGAAGAGAAGCGCTTTCTCTTTTAATAAAACTGTTAATGTATGTATTATGCATTAGAAAGACCACCTGGGCACACCAGCATCTATAAAAAATTTACATTTTTACAACATTTCAAATAGTAGTTTACAAAGATCTTGAAATGTAACTCTCAACATGTGTTATAGAAAACAATTTTATTTTAACAATTAAAATAAAAAGAAAAAGGCATTTTCAATTGCCATTTTTAAAAGCTCATATCCTACACTATTGAAGTACAGAATGCAAATAAAACAGAACAGTGAATTAATACATGTAATAGTAGAGTTGCTGAAATAGTGCGATTTCAAACAAAATCATTATGATTTGTGGCTATTGTATCAACCGCAGGTGTATAAAGAGGGAGAGATCCCGCTCTCACTCTCTCAACAAGTGGCTTGAAGCAATAATATACAAACAACTCAAAGGCCTTACCATCGAAAAATCGAATGAGCCAAGTTACTACGATTTCTGGTACCGTACTGACATGTACTAAACGCGCTTAAAAAGCGGACGACGCTCGCGTGCGTTTGACAGAAACAACAAAAACGGTGACTGAAAGCCACAACAACAACAACGACGTTGCGGGGTTATTGTTATTTGTACGTTTATTTTCCTCAAGCGACAAAAAAGAATACGGTTTGTGAGAATTAAAAAGAACGAAGCGAAAGAAAGCCGTCTTAAAAATAAAAATCGAAGAGGAGCGAGAAAGCAGTACAGCAAAGCGGCGGCCAGAACAGGACGGAGCGAACGGCAAAGACAGGTAAAAAGAAGGAGGAGTACGAAGAGGAAGAGAGGATTAAGTGCTGAACTACAGTTACTTTTAATGTTTGAATTAAAATTAAAACAATGCTCCAGTGATCGCAGTCATAACGGCTAAAAACTAAAACCTAACCCGAAAAATAAACCCGAAACTAGTTAAAATGCCAAGCAAACGTGACAGAGATTCGAATTCGTGCTAATTAGAAAAAGAATGTGCCAGGTGAGAGGATGATATCGAAATGCTAACGAGATATCGATACCTGTAGTGATAGTGTGTGTTTGAAGGGAGTGCATATGTAGGTACTATATCACACATATCGCCGGAAAATGCGGTCAATTAGAATAATATACATAGCGGATTGAGCCTGTGTCTGTGAATTAGTGAATGAATTGAACAAAAGCATTGAAAATCAATACGAAACCTGCCGCCGCTCCCACTTTTGTACATACAGTGCTACCTCAAAATAGTGAATAGTGATATGTGAAATAAAAATATTAAACATTATTTTATCTAAAAAGTGTACATAAGATTGTCAGTACTATAAACGATTTATTTCTTCTACTAATACGGGTAGTATGTAAATGTAGTATTGTTAAATATGTTGTAATTGTACAAATTCTTATTTTTAATACTTCACTCCCCTTCATATAAATAATAAACATATACTCTTTAGTGGTTCATCATTACTAGTGAGCACTGTATATTCACTCACGCACATTACTGTGAAGCCTCACCTGTGTAAGTGCGGCTTGGAAGCGAATGTGTATGTGAGAGCCTCGTGAAATATCAACAGCGCAAACTGAGAGAGGAAAACGGAAAACAGGTGGAAAAGAAAGCTTAAAAAATGCGGTCGGTCAAAAACTAAAGTTGCAGGCAACAGCCGAGGGGTGTGGTGGGTGGCGGGAAGAGGGAGGGAGACACGGAGACAAATACCTTTTCAAGCCGCGCACACTCACACAGGCAGACACACAGACTTCAGCCTACCTGCCACGAATGCGTTTGAGGGAGATAGCAATAGTGTAGATCAGGGTGTCGATGTCTCGCCGTCCCCCTCCCTCCCCAACAAGCTAGTTTCCACCTAAAGAACAGCAAAAACAACTATTGTTATTTGTTGTTTTGCCATTTGTTCGTAAACCAAAAGAATTGCGAGATAAAACAGCAAGTGAGCAGCCGCCTTTTTATCTAAATCCGAGCTGTCTGAATTATTTGATACATTAATTCCCATCTCATGCTTATCAGGCCCCAATTAATTATCTTACCCTTAATTAAGTAACGTAGTATTTTCACAAGTCTTAAGATTTTTAGTTGGGGAATACTTCGAAGTTTACTTTTTATCTGACCTTTTTACCTCGTTTTATCCATTCAATAATATATTATTAAACTTTCTATAGTTATTCCCTTTTACCAATATTAGGTATAAGATGTGTATGCATATGTAGATGATAAAGTTGCAGTGCTCTGTACATACATATGTATATGTATTTTAAAAATGTAAGCTCTGTTATTGAAGTTTCTGTCTTATCTAATCACTTAAAACCATTACTTTTTCCAAAACTGGATTTATGCAAGCGTTTAAATTTTGCCTTCACTCAAGTGCGATAATGTTTATCGCGTTTCGTCATTGGCCTCTAAGCTGCTGTAAAATAAAGAGCGAAAACACAAATCTGTCAAATTCCACAAGTATGATGCAATTTGCGGCTTGCACAAAAAAAATAAACAGCAAGCCCACAAAAAATAAAACAGAGCGACGCAACATAACAAAAAACAAAACATTTACAGGGTTGTAGTGGGTCAATGTTTTCTTTTTTATTTGCATTTCGTCTTGTTTGTTTACGGCGATTTCGTATTGGGCCAGATCGTGTTGGAGATAGTGCACTCTGGCTGACCCCCTCTACAATTTCTCTTTCACCTGTTGCAAGTACACAGGCCTCTTCCCCTTGTCCAATGACCCTGCACCTGCTAGATTGATACACAGAAACAAAAATATACCAATGTAATGTTTTTAATTCAATTTGGAACTATAATACTTATTATCTAAACATTTTGGAAAGCTTATTATAAAATATGAAACTTATATTAGTCACTCACCAAGCATAAGTATATAAATACACAGATGATCACTCATATTATAAAGTCAATGTTTTTATTTGAGTGTAGATTGGTATGCGTCAGCGCTGCTAGCGTCAGCTGCGCAGCCGGCTTCTGAGCCCAGCCTAAAACAGCGGAAAAGTTGTTGCTGTCACTTGAGTCGAGGGAGCGGTTGAGACATAGTGTCTGTCCGTTTGAGCGAGAGAGAACGAGAAGAAGTGTGTTTGCAAATCTCAGTTTCACGTTGTGTGTGTTTTTTGCAGGTGTGTTCATTGACTGCACAAAAAAAAATTAAGATAATTTTTAGTCAGAGTAGAAGTAGAGTAGTCGAAAAAAAAGTTTAACTTACACAAAATATTCATTTAAAGTTGATTTTACTAAGATAAATATTTTTAAATTAAATGAGTCATTTCGATGCTCTACAGTAAACAAATTACTGAATTTGACGAGGTATCTATCAACCATTCTAAACGATCCTAAATTGTTTTCTGTGTAGTCAAAGGCAAGACAATCAGATAAGAAGGGAAACAGGGGAAGCCGCGCGATTTTTGAATTCCAATGCTGATCCAAGCCAACAACGAAATGTTAAAGTTTGAGAATAATTGCGGCCATGTGCTGATCGTTTTGGAGTGTGTGTGTTAACGCTAGTGGCTGTGTGGAATGCGGTCTGAGTCAGAGACGATTGGCTGCGCAATATCTAAGGGGCTGAGGGGCTTCAGATGCATAGGGGTTAACTAAATCTAAGACTCAGCTGCACCGAAGAAATACAGAACAATGATTTAACACATAATAAAAGATCATTTTCGAATCCGGCAATCATAAGGTTGCAGTGTGAAAACTCGATCATGGGTATCTTTGGATTATTAGATTTCGAATTGGGAACTATGGGCTGTCACACCTCGAAAGTCATGTGGCAATGAGAAACTCTAATATGGCAGTCCCCATATGCATACCAAAAATCTGCGATCTTATTAAAATTCTTTTCAAAGTTATTATATTCAAGTTAAACGTGTTTCCTAAAATCGGCTGAGTTATGGAGACATATTTCATTAACCCAATGCATACTTGTCTATTATTATATTTCAAATATATATGATTATGATTCTATATCAACTTGATTTTGATAATGATAAATTAATTGGCTTAGAACAACTACATACCTTGATGTTCAAGCAACTTGCGTCATCATTTAAACGGTAATTGTAATAATAATTTTCGAATTCATCAATTATTTAAACAAATACTAAAAAATGTTGCCCAATAATGTTTTATATTTAAACATTTTTCTATTCTTATTTCAGACGGAGTTTCAGGCAGAGCTTCAGGCGTCGAACAAAGCCTGTAGTGGAATTGGGAGAAACCATGGTGAACCACCACTCGAATGGAGGCGGAAGTGCCGGAAATAGCAGCGGAAGCTTAAGAGGAGGAGGGGCCCATGGAGGAGGCGGAGGAGGAGACTATTCTGGAGATGACCGCAGTGGAGGCGGCGAGGAGCGGGAGCGTCTGGAAAGCGACTTGCATGATAAGCCCACCTACCTTCTGGAACACCTGGCAACCTTCACGGTAAACAAGGAGTCAGGCATTGTGTATCCGGCGGACGGAATGCGTCGCCTTCTTCAGCTGGAAAAGACCACTGGTATTTGGTCGCAGAAGATGCAGCTCTGCCTGGACTACCAGTGGGTGTTAATCATGGACTACGAAACGGGGGTAGGACCAGGGATCTCAATTTTGTGTACCTTAAACTCATTTTGACCCATCTCTTTCAGAATATCATCGAAAGATTCCCCGCTTCCTTGGTCCAGGAGCCAACCGCCTTCACCTCCAATGACGCCATGGAGCTGTACAATAACATTCTGGTCTTTATCGTGTCCGGAGGCGGTGGTTCCCGCTCTGAGATGCACATATTCCAGGTAGGTTCTACGTTCTAATAGTAAAAATCATAAACAAATTTGAAAAACGTTATTGAGTATTATTTAATTACTCAAAAAGATATTAAATTTAAAATTTAAATTTTAGACAACAATTTTATAACATTTTAATTGAGTGTGTCATTATGTCCGTTACAGTAGCTTATTTGCAATAACATTTGAATTCAAAAAAAAAGTTGATAAAAGATTGTGTTCGTTGACACATATTTAATCAAGGAAAGTTAAAGTAATGGAGGCATACATTAAGTCACATCAAAATCAGATTTAAAAGACCCATAAAGCCTTACATAGTCTGTCATTCTAATCCTTTGATGCTTATATCCTTGCAGTCACAAAGCGTGTCCGCTGTTCACCTGGTGGAGGATCTGAAGCAGCTAAGGAGCGGAAAGATGATCACGCAGCAGCGCGGTGCTACACCCACACAATCGGGCGGCGGAGGCGGTGCCATGATGATGAGCAAGACCTCATCGTCCTCCTCGCACAGTCGAGTGGAGTTGCACCAGCACAGGGAGCAGCGTGTAGATCGCGAGAGGGAGCGGGATCGAGATCGCGAGCGTGAAAGCCATCATCACTTGCACCAAAGGAGCAGCATGGAGCAGTACGGAATGCGGGCCGGCGTTGGTGTTTCTGGAGACGATGTGGCACATATCAGTGGAGAAACTGACTCGGAACATGGCGGGATAGGAGTAGGAGGAGGAGCAGCGGAGCGCGATGAAACGAGCTCCACGTCTAGTGAAAAGTACGAAAGAGATGTGGCCGTACTCAATCATTGTTTCGACGATATTGAGAAGTTCATAGCCCGCCTTCAACACGCGGCTGCTGCTTCCCGAGAACTCGAGCGGCGCCGTCGCAATCGGAAGTCCAAAAAAAGGGATCCAGGAGAGGGATTGCTTACTCTGAGAACGCGACCGCCCCACGAAAAGGAGTTTGTGGACATTTTCGCCAAGTTTAAGCTGTCATTTAACCTGCTGGCCAAGTTGAAGGCGCATATCCACGATCCCAATGCCCCCGAGCTGGTGCACTTCCTCTTCACGCCGCTCGCCCTGATTGTGGAGGCCTCCAGCGACACGTACTACGAGTCCCAGCTGCCGGCTCGCGTGGTGAATCCCCTTCTCACCAGAGAGGCCATCAACCTGCTCATCAACTGTGTGACAAGCAAGGAGACGGAGCTGTGGCGCTCCTTGGGCGACGCCTGGGTTATCCCGCGGGATCAGTGGAAGGATGATGTGGGGTCCTACCATCCGGTTTTCCTCGACGGGTGGTCACCGGACTACTTGATCAACGACGAGCTGGAACCGCCACCAAATTCCCCACCCGCTCATGTGAGCAAGCGCAGGCTCGAGGTACAGGCGGGATCCGCATTGAATGGTCGAGGAGGAGGAGGTGGATACGATGACTACGACTCCGGGAATGGGATGAACATGGCCATGGGCATCGAGAAGTACACCATCCATCACGGCAATGACGGGTTAAGAGAGCGTGAGAGGGAACGCGATAGAGATCGGGCGGGAGCCATCAGTGCCTCTGACTTTAACACCCGCAGCGAGCTCTCCTTTGACTCGATTGAGGGCAGAGGAGGCGGAGCACCGGGACATGGACATGGCCATGGACCAGGACCTGGACCCACCCTCAGCGCCATCACAGCTGGTCTGCAGAATCTGCACACGCGGGATTCCCGCGGTGGCAACGGATACGGAGTAGGAGCTGGTCCCGGGCCCTCCTCTGAGTTGGGTGGCGGTGGAAGGGGACCACCAAATGTCAGCGACGACCAGATGCTCGAGTCTTGGTTGGAAGATCTACAGGCGACAGGGGCTAAGATTGTGCTGGTGACCTATCCACGTACCGCGAACAATGACAAGGAGCTCAGCGTGATGCGAGGCGAATACTTAGAGGTAAGTCCAGCATCCATTCTGATAAACTTAGTAGAACCAAATGACCAATCCTTTTATCCCTTAGATCCTTGACGACACCCGAAAGTGGTGGAAGGCGCGCAACATGCGGGGACAAGTGGCCCACGTGCCCCACACGATCGTCACCCCCTTTAATTTCGGCGATGGAGATGGAAGCCAGTTCTACGGACAACAACAGCAGCCGCAGACGGGTCCTCCGGGCTCGGGTAACAAATCGCGATCAGGGGTGAGTAGTCCTTGAAGCTCCAATCCAACGGAAGTCATATTAATTGATTTAACGCAGGATATGCCTGGCATGGACCAGCGATCGCCGGACCCCACCGACATGATGCGCAGCAAGCATCTGGGCAAGAAGGGCGAGTTCCGCTACTTCTAGGATCGATATACGATATCTATATACATACACACATATTTCGTAGTGAGAATCTAGCATTAAAGAGATACAGACATCAGCAGTCCTGTCTAGGATGCTAGTCCTGATCTATATCCGATCGGATTAGCTCCGATACTTTGCACTCGCTCGCAGGAGTGTGCAAACTAGAACTAACCTTAAGACTAACCTAAGTGGAGCTCCAGATGGGGGCCGTTGAGCGGCATGTGGCTCCTGCTGATGCGGATGCTTAAGTTGATGCTGATCAAGACGAAGTAGGGGAGGCGACGGCAATAATTTGTTTTAATAAAATTATATCCAAAGGATTCCTTTATGGTATTGTGATTAAGAAACTGGGTAAAGGGGTTGGGATCTAAGGATCCATATCTTACTGTTATCTAACCAAGACAGTGGATATCGACAGCCTTATATTAAGTTAAGATGCCAAATACTTGGGGAGCTGCTTTGCTTTATTTGGATGCTTACAAGAAGAAGTTAACTGGTGCTGTGGGGTGATCAAAGCCAACGATTGAACAAAGAGCATTCTACGAAAATTTGAATAGATCTTGGAAGATCCCAGAAACCCATCCGCTTAGATGATGGACAACTTCTCCACGCGGGCCAGAAGCGGGGAATCGGAGTGGTATTCCATGCTCCTTACGGCAAAGTCGCCCACATCGTTGGTGAAGCACTTCAGCGTGGAGATTGAGAAGGGACGTCCGGGGAAGTTGTAGTAGGTGAAGTACTGGCCGTTCACAGCGATCAGGAAGGCGCGATCGCCGAGTCCAAAGGCGATCTTGAAAAGCTTTCCCCGCACAAATGGGAATTCTCCTTCGGTCTCCTCGTCACTGATTGCAAAGCTGCAAAAATTTCGAATGGAAATTTCGTGAAATCTAAAAATATAGACGCGGACTGGATTCTACCTGTTGTCTTCGCGCTGGTAACTCCGTGAAACCGTAGTCCGATCGAAGTCTACGTGGAAGCGTAGCACTGTCCTCCCAGTGTCGTTGCACTGGAAACAGATGGAGAACTCTGTGGTCGGTGGCCCTTTGGCGATGCACTCCATGGCCACCACGGTTCCGGTTTCATATCGCCTAGGCACATCGCTCTGGAAGGCCACTTTGTCCGGACACATGAGAGTTCTAGGGAAGACCAGGGGAAAAAGCATGCGGTGGTGGAACTGAGTGATCTTCTCAAAGTCCCCGTAAGCCCGCACGTAGTTAATCTGCTTGGGGAACTTCACGAACTCAAAGGATCCGTACAACTGGTCGTTCACGTAGATCTCAAAGCATCTTTGAAGCACCGCCACCCTAAAGGTGAAGCTCTGACCTGGCTGCAGTGGATTCTTTGGCCCATCGCACTTCCAGTTCTTTGAGATCTCCTCCTGCTGCCATCCCTCGCCCGGCTGGAACATGCTGCGAATGATCTGACCCTCACGGAAGTTCGCCTCGATCTTCAGGAACACCGTTTCGCTCTCGTTCTGCGCGTTCACATTGTCCGTGAGGTCCAGGGAAATTCTATTCGTAAGTCGAAAGGGTAGTTTAGTCAAAATTAGATATTTGATTTAAACTATCGACTAAACTAGAATTTTCAGACAAGTTTCTATCTTCTTTATAAAAATTACATTTTAAGCGAATTTTAATAATCCTTTTTTTAATATAATTTAATTGCAATTGCATATGTTCATGGTTAGGCTCAAATATTTGCATTATTATTGCATTGTTAATCTTTTACTTATTATTTATTTATTGCAAGGAAACTTTATTGGCTTATCAATAACCACTTGAGTATATTTGCATATCAAATAGAAATCGTTAGTTTTAACAGTAGTTTATCTATTGAACTATTCCAACTAATCACAGTCTTTATGTTTTTTAAAATAATTATTTAATTAATTATTATATGTTTAAAGGATTAAAGTGTTCAAAACTGAAAAACATTTACTTATTCGGATGAGGCTTGACGCGTCCACTGACGATGAGGACATGCCCGAAGGGTACTTCCGTTAGGACCTTTGCTTTCCAAACGTTCATCGCGGCTCCACGGTTCCACTGCAACTGATTCGACGAATCCGTATCCGTATTGGAATCCAGCCGGATCCGGCTACGTCGCCGTTTTATGCGCCCTTATGCTAATAGATTCGCCATCCGTCGCCTTTCCTCGTTTATTTGTTGTGATTATGTAAAGGCGGGTGAAATGAGGAATTACCTGCAGCCGCATGCAAACTTGACATGGACGTGGACGTGGTAAGGTTACCCCCAGTCCCGTCCCCATCCACAGCTCAACCCGTTCAATCGAATCCCATATAAATCCCCAGGCAACCCCCGAATATCCGACCCAGTGAGCCGGGCTCCATGACGAGAACCTTGCGCGTTTATTTATTTGATTCAATCCTTGCCTTTGTAACCCATAACTGTCATCCTCGAGTTCTTTTCACGGTTGCTGTCACGCCCCCAACTGCCGACTGCCCATTTGTTGCTAGTTACTCGCGGCACTGGGAGAAAAACTAGGCCTTACTTTTACCAACTTACTTTTAAGATAATATTTTTTGGTATATAATTCATTTTATTACACGGAATCCTTTACGAAAGTCCTACTTTTTTAGTTACTTTAAAAAACCTTTCAAGAATTAAGCATCGTTTACTTTTATTATGCCTTATCAATAGGGCTTTTAATAGCTCCTGAATAGCGTTTTTATTATGCTCTCAACATAAACTTTTTATAATCCCTGTCGAGTCAAGAAGCTACGGCAATGTCCCTGCTCCTTTCTTCTCGCCGTGTTCTCCATCTTAACCTCTTCCTTTCGACGGTTCCATTGTTGTTGCGTGTCTTGGGCGAAATAAAACAAGGTAACAACAATTGATTCCCTGTCTAAAGTTTTTGCATTTGCAGTAAAGTGCGACTTGGGGGCTGTGCCGGGCCTCTCCCCAGCCTGGAGCACTTTTCCAGCCCCTACGACATCCCTTCCATCTCCCCGCCGCGATTCCAGCCCGGGTAATTCATTTCTTTTGACGTACCTTGGCATATTCGCTGAAGTTCTGTCTCCGTCTCTGTCTGCGTCTACACCTTTCGCTTTCGTCCATGTCCAAACCAATGACATCTCCTCAGGGCTCCACTCATCCTAGAACAGTGAAAGCTCCCTTGGGAGAAACGTTTTTAAAATATTTCAAACGTGTTTCCTTGCAGATTCTTCTCTTTAATGACCCTCAACTTAAATTATTTTGTAGTAGTTGGTAGTTGGAGCTTTCACTGTACTCCGCCGTCGAATACGTGGCCTCTGTTTGTCTTTTTTCCTTCGCTGTTTCTGTCGCTTGCACCTGATCGAATTGGGTCCAAGTCTTCAGCTTAACTCGACTTGGCTGGGCTCACTTATTTCTGATTGCGTTTCACCTTGGCGCACCCGACCGTAGGCAACCCCCTGGTCCACCACCCGCGCCTCGCCTGATCCAACCACCCGAAGATGGGATGTGCCTGGCTTTGCCTGCTACGAATGGCAAATTGCTAATTGGTTAGTTATGGCCACTGACAATCCAATCCATCAATCGGCTCCGACAGTCGAGTACAAACATCCTGGGTGACCTTGTCAACTCCTGCCTGACCTCTGATCCCCCGCCCCCTGGCACACGCCCTCTTGTGCGGCGCTTTCCAAACAGAACTAATGAAGTAATCGTGTCGATTTCAACTTTAATTTCCGCTTGTCACTCCAACTGATAACCCGAAAGCAAGTGGAGCAATGCGAGCAAGGTTTGTGTACGTTGCACAATTATCAGTTTCGGATTCGGTTACCTTTCCACCTTCCAGAGTGCCACGTTTGTCCCCTGGGACCTGGGAATTGGGACTTTTTCCCCCTACTGCACAGAGAGAAATACACAATTTTCGAAGGTTGGATAAAATCAAAAGGATATTGAATATCCTTTGAATCCATCAACTAAGTAATCAATTATCCTTTAATGAAGTAAGTAATAAGATCTGATCTACAGTGATTTGGAAAACCATAAATTCAATCATCATATCGTATCAGTTTTTCTTTCTGTGCCTCTCCAGGCGTCTTATCTCGTTCCCAAGTCAGTCTCCCCAACCGTATCGAATCGGTTCGGGGCGAGCGACGACACGTCTACAGAAATCAGATTTTACGGTGGCGGGGCTGGCGACGGATCCGCAAATCGTACAACCAATATAGTGATAATGGGTTTACGGCCGCCGAGAGTCCATGCCAGCGCACCAAGTGGAGTCTATTCCCAACCCGAACACCCACCGCCGATCCGATCCGAAGCCCAAACGGAAGCCGAATATGGCGGCGATCGTTAATCAACCGGCTTCACCGCTTTTTGGTGGCGTCTGCTCTTTGGGGGCGGAGCAAATCACGTCGCTCTTTGGTATCAGTATCAGTACCAGTGTAATCATCCTCCCCGATCAGTGAAAGAACCATTTCTGATTGATACTGCTTCGATCCTCACCTGATGACGTACTCAGTTAGGATCGCCAAGCGTTGCCAACTCATTAGTTCACTCGAGACAAACGTTGATAACCGCATTAGTTCCAGGCCAAAAGCACTTCCTTGTTAATAGTGCTCTTAAGATATATATGTGCCTAGCATATATAGATCCGATTTGATCTCCACCACGTGGCGATTTAATCGGGCATGAAAATAACTTAAGCCAAACGAACAAACTTCTAACGATCACAGTTTGCATTCCCTTGGCCCAAGTAATTCGCTGCCCGGGATAGTGATTGTCCACGCAGGAGTAGTTACACGTAGGCACTGAATGCACTCTATACACCATATCTCTCTGGACAGGAACGGATCGGATCGAAGCCGAGCGGATCGGTGGCGGCACTATATGCACTTGTCGCGTTGCGGAACGTAACTGAAACGTCGGATTTGACGGTGAAGTTTAAAACGCCAGCTCCCGATGGCGGGGCCCACGAAGTGTAGTATCGTCGATCGCTGGCGATATCTCACCTGTACAGGTGCGAGTGCCAAGGAGCGCGAGGGAGAGATAGAGAGAGGGGAGAGGGCGAGCCGAAAAACAGAAACGGAAAACAAATAAATATGAAATATTGAACTGGAGCAGAAAGTGGGTGATATTTTGTAGATAGCACACACACCTGAGCGTGCGTGCTGTCTTTGTATTGGCCATTAAACTGCCGTTGGCGACTGTCAACGTAGCTGAAAAGCTGAAAAGAAAATGAAATGAAAATGCCAGTGGAAATGTCTCCCCACAATTTGTCTCAATAGATTCAGCCGTGGCTGGCGTTATCAGTACAGGTAGTGCGAACAGGTGAGGGTTCCCGACTGCTCCCTTTACCTGCGACCCGGCCAGGCGCATCCATCAAAGTCGACTTACAGTTGCAGTCAGTACTGTAGGATTTTTATTTAGTAGACCGGCTTAAAACAGGGGAAATATATCTAAAATGACTATTCAGATTTCTTGCCCAAGTAGGAAAAATAATAGAGTGCAGCATAAGAAATAGACCTGGGATGAAACTGATTCTGTGTTTTAAACATGGTTTTATGTTTTCTAATTTCGGTTATCTTATTATTTTGACCCCAACTGTACCCAACTATGTGCCAGTTAAAAGTGACAACTTCAACTCTATTTGCTGGAGCGATCTGTTCCACATTGCCCCTTTCCCTTGTTCTCCACCTTTCGCCTTCACACCGCATCGCCTTTATCAGGGGACAGCAAACACGCCGAGAAAAGCCATAATTTTCTTTGATGTTTGCACCACGCGGAGTGCCATTAATTGATTTATTACTAAAGTTGATTGCCAGGGCTACCTTGGCTTGCTCTGGTCCGATTTGGTGATGTCCAAGTAGTTATATGGCCAACTAATTAGGTAAATGTGTTTGTCCTGATGTTCCCTGGCAGTAAGAGATATCTTCTCGCCTTGGCAGATATTTTCTAGAGGTGATAACGTCGAGGGTGAGAACATGCCGTCGATCGGGCACTTAGATGATTGGGATGGCAACAAGGTGGCTCGGTTCCATTTCGTCATCCAATGTTTGCTCCATTTCGATCATTGTTTGGAGTGGGAACAGAAAGTGAGCGGCATTCCCATTCTCAATTCAATTTCCAACAAATGTTTACTCTTGGTGCCTGTTTATTCAGCTTGACATTGTCTCGCTTGTGAACAATATATACATCGACATCATATAGAGCCGTACCCACTGCTCGAGTTCCAGGGAAAGATCCTATAGATCGGTATGTTGCTTTTTGGCCTCGATAACATTCTGCATGACCAGATCGTACAGGTTATCCTCCTCCTCTTCCGGGCTCTCTGGGTGATTGGTCTTATCCTTGACCTCATGCAGGCTCTCCAGTTCCTTTTTGTAGTTATGGAGGGCTTGTTGCAAAAGTTTCTCTACGGGGGAATACGTGGAACGGGATCTCAGGCGGGCTTTTGCTATTTCCAACGCCTGAAAAGATTACTGCGGTTGGAATCAAATAATATTTTAAAGAAACAATACCTTCAAGGTGTTGGTATTTCTCAATAGAGCCTCTTCATAGGACAAAACCCTGGGAGCAGGAGTGTAAATTGAAGTTTCGACTAGCTTTTCGTTCTGGCGTTCCAGTTTTAGCTCCTCAGCTTGCCTAAAGAAATAACAATGGCTTTAAGGTCTGGGTATTCTAAGATAAATTAACCCACACTTTTTCTAATTTCTGATCGATCTCCGCCTCAAGGGCCAGGTATTTGTCATTAATCTCCTTGATCAGGTCCATTGTGCGTCCTTGCGAGGTTTTGTAAACAGAAACCCAAACAAATGAGTTGCCATGCAACGGTTATTTTGTTTTGAGAGACGGTGCTACCAGTTGGTTTGAAAAACAGAATTGGTAGTGTTGCCACAACGATGAAAAAAGATGCAGTTAACGTTAACCCAAGTAAATCAAATTTATTTTTTAAAAGTGCTTATATTATTATGTTCTATTTTTAAGCAACATTTATTTACTTATCTTACTATTTTCATTGCATTTAACATTTAATAAAAAAAATAAAATGATCAACAATGAAAAGGTACAATATTCAACAAAAAGTCTTTTTTAGAAAAACTAGTTATACGTAGTTACAATTATAAAAGGAAATAGGTATAGGTAGGTAACCAAGGTAAACAATATACTTTCATAATCAGTTGGTTGTAAACAAGGCTTTTTATCTGCAAAACCAATAAAATGAGATAGTAATTATACACGAAAATTGGATAGGTTATCTTAACATGATTTATTATCTATGCAAATATAATAAATCCTTTGACAAAAACAAGTTTTAGATTCGATGATTCTAATTTCATTTTTCTTTGCTGTTCTAAGCTTGTATGCACCCAAACATACCTCTAGTATCAAGCTAAATCAAATTTATTCTCAAGGCGGCACCATTTCCGGTGCCTTATACCTTCCGGGTCTATTTTATCAAAATAAACCCTTAACTAGATAAGGAAGTCGTAGCGCTCCCTTTAACATTGACAATAATAGATATCATAATAATATATATCTTATAGACACCTTAAAGTAATCACAAAATATCAATCGCCCTATTCCAAGGTCCAGAAGTAGTCTCAATCTCAATAGGAGATAACAAACAAATCAAAAAGGCAATATAAAGTTATAACATAATGAAGCCCGTAAGCACAGGCGTAAAAGGGGCTTGTATCGCATTCTGAAATTGAATTTTAATGATGACTGGCTAAACCCTTAAATGAAAGTGTTTGCTTTGGAGGTGCCAAATTTGTTTTAATAACGACTAGCTCGAAAGAGAATAGTAACCATAAAAAGATTCATTTTGAGTTAGACAGCTTTCTAGCCGATCAAAGTCCATTTGGCAAAAGCTGGTAGCTGTGACGAAAAGGCAGCACACTTTGTTTGTCATAAATTTGTGTTTATTAATTACCATAACATTTAAAACCACGAAGTCGGGCACATACCTTTGTTCACTGACAAATCACATATGGGATGATATATACTAACTATATACACTCAGTATTTTTTATCTAGTCTTTAACTTAAGTAATGTTCTACTTAATCGTTGATAGGATCTTACGCTTCCTTCAGGAATTTTTTGATATGCGGTGCCACTCGATCCGGGGTGACCAAGTGAAGGTGATGGGTGCCGGGCACTTCGACATAGACTACTTTGGCGGCATTTTTCCTTAGCGTGGCAATCACATCCGCATAGACTTGTGGTGTCTCGAACTTCATGCCCGGTGTACCCCGAATGTTAAGCACCTTGCAGCGAATCTGGCGGGCATAGGCCAACGTCTGCTCTGCGGTGAACATTCCTAGTAAGCTTACTTTCAGGCGGAGATCCCTAGCAAACAAATATCCATCTTTGCTTGGATTATGCCGCATTCCCCGCTTCATCAGCACCTTGACCGAGGGTTCATCCACGGAGCCGTCATATGCGTGCAGTACCAGCTTGATCATCTCGTCGTATGAATAGCAGGGCTGTTTGCTCTCCGGGAGTGTCTCGTAGTCCAAAAACTTATCCAGTGCCTTGCCAGTACCTTCTGCCATTCTTTGGGTGCCTCGCACCGTAGGACCAGCAATGTCGATGTTGATCAGCTTATCCACTTCCTCGGGAAAACTAGCAGCGTACATAAAAGTCAGGGCCCCGCCCAGCGAATGACCCAGCAGGCTGACATTTTTCCAATTATATTTTCGTACTATCCGGCGGATCAGGCATATGCCATCCCAAAAGATGAAGTACTGCATGCCCTGCGGATAGAACGAGGATTTTCCGTGCCCGGGAAGATCGATAGCTAGGATGGAAATGTCTGACGGAAGAAGAGGCAGCAGACGGTCGAAGCTGCCACAGTTGTCTTGCCACCCATGAAGGGCTATGATGGGCTGTTGCTCCTTGGAGCCCCACCACTTTCCTAAAAGCGGAAAAATCGATTAGAACACCAAAACAGAAAAGGATATTGAATACACTAATACACTTGTTCTTGGCATGCATGTCACTTGGTAAGTAGTAGGGCTTCCTTAACTCTAACTTTCCAAAATCAATATTTTCACAACTTATATAAAAGTGTATAACATTTAAATTTTTAAACGCAAATGAAAGAATTTTTCATCCCTAGTTTTAGAAAAATATTTAAATTTTTTTTTTCGCATGAGTTTCGAAACTTGAATTTGGAAATTAGAGGAAAACTATTGCGTGACTGCGTCATTAAAAATCACGTCAGATGGTCATGAATTGGCCGATGCTGGTGATAAGGAAAAGGCACCTATATGACTCACCCTCAACGGTTCCCCAGGGAACTTCGATGGAGAATTCCTCCCAGCTGTTCTCCCCCAGCAGCTGTAGCTCCTCTTCTTGGCCATCTGAAAATAGAAGTAATCCAACCAGTTTAAAAATCGAACTGTGATGAAACAAAGTCTGGTGAAATCGCCAGTCAGCCAAATGACTTCGGACTCAGGTGCTAAAAGCTTGCGAATTGGTGACCTGACCATGACCTCCTCCTCCGGTTTACTCACTTGTTTCAGGGGAAAGTACCACCGCCGAAGCTTCCGCCGTTGTTGTTGCCACGCGTGTCTGACCCATGTCTGAATTGTTGTACGGAAATTGTTTTCAGATTCCACGATCTGCGGATCCCGCGAGCAAGTACTTTTGAATTTGAGAGCCGGAGAGCAACTAACCAAAACACAAATTTTTTCTGATCCAGTTGACTGAAATCGATAACCGATAAGCCTGGGCAAAACAGAGCTGGTAGTGTGATGAGTGCGATGGGGAAGCAGCTAACTATTTTTATACTAATTTTTTTTTTAAATTATATTAAGATTAAAGTGCTTATTAGAGGAAAGTTGACTGAATTATGATAAAAGTAGCGAAATTTCACTAAACAATCAAAGTAAGAGCAAGAACTAAAATAAAATATGTTAAAATGTTTAGGTAATAAATCTCAGTTTCAGTCACAGCTCGATTCCGAAAAGGTGGCAACTCCACGTGTTGTTTATATTTTGATTTGTATACAATATTTTGTATATTTTCTCGTAAAATTGGGTATCTAGCAGATAAATCAACATGTAAGTACAATAAATGATATCCCTGTTTCGGGAAAAACGAATTTCAATTCAAAATCTCACCAGGACGGAGTTCTGGAAATCAAACGAGCGAAAATTCTGCGACTTTTGCAAATGCTGGCTGAGCGACAACAAAGCAGTGAGTTTCAAGATAGAAATTCAAGTACTATTTATCTTATGACTTCAAATTTCGTTAGAGCGTTGCCTTCCACGAGAGCGGGAAGCGGCACAAACTAAATGTCGCCAAAAGGATCACGGACATCAGTCGCAGCAGCGAGAAATCCGAGAGGGAACGCCAGAAAATGGACGCAGAGATCCGAAAAATGGAAGAAGCGGCTATGAGGTCGTACGCCCAAGATGTCCATTCCCGCGGTGACATGACCGCCAGATCTATCAACACGGTAATGAAGGCTACCGCCTCTTCGAGTAGTGCCCACTCCTCCGCCGGAAGATCCCGTCAAATAGATCCCATGCGCCTGGAAGGACTGTCTGACGATGAAGAGGATCAAAGAAGAGTTGCTCCCGGCAAAGTAACAAATGATGCTGCCGTTCCCGATGCCTCCCTTTGGGTGGAGGGTAAATCAGACGAGGGGCACACCTACTATTGGAACGTCAAGACCAATGAATCCGTTTGGAAGCCCCCAAAGGAGGGTTATCTATCCTACGAGGAGTACGAGCGCATCAACCAACTAGCCATCGATCAGCAAGAGATTTCGCAAGCCCAGGAAAGCCTCAAATTTCGGGCCAATGCCGATGAGGAGGTGGCGCGTGTGAACCGGGAAAAGATGAAAGCTTTCCGGAAACCCGATAATCCAAAGGAAAGGAAGCAAAAGGAGGAGAGCCGTCAGGCATTTAAAACGGAGGAGGAGGCGGCTACCAAAGAGATTGGACAGTGGGAAACAGTAGTGGTCAAGTATGGCTTTCTATTTAGGAATTTCTAAGTCTCCACATTAAGAGCACCAGTTCATTTTAGTCTTAATTAACACTGTCCAGAGTGTGAAGCTTTTGAAATCCAAAACCTTATCTGTGTGCATTTATGATACTGATATTTTTTATAGGGCACCAGAGGAGCCGGTGGACTGGCAGCTGCCCAAAACTGATTACTATAGTGCTGCTCCCGTGGTTTCCACTTCTAGTGAGCCCGAGCCTCCGGCGAAGCGATTCAAGGAGAAGACGATAAGTGGACTGGATGCGGAAACAGCCGCCAGTGCACCTGCCACGTTCAAAAGAAAATTCATCAAAAAGGGCAATAGCCGTCAGCGCGTCGATGATTAGGAGTATTTTTAGTTTGTATACATATATAGTGTATTGATAATAAAGTGAACAATATGACATAATATGCTATTGCATTTATGGCTCAGCCGAATAACTTCTAATTATCTTTTTAATTTGAAAAACGATTATTTTGATTCCTATGGAATCGGTTTGTGTCACGGCTTTAAGTGTGACATTTTTAATCAAAAAAGTTACATCTATTTTTAGTGTGTTTTTGCAAATACCACGGTGGTGTATTTTCGCTTCTCTCTTACGGCCACTCTGCTGTTGTTGTTGTAGGCGAGCAGTCGAACATTGCGTCGGAATTCCGTTGAATCGAATCGCGCTGTTTTCTCGCGTTGTACGCTGTGTTGTTTGGTTCGTTTCGTTTCGCTGTTCGTTTTCCATTCGTTTTCAATTCCGCGCTGCAAACAAACAAGAAGAAGGGGAAGCAGCAAAAGTGGCGAGTGCAATCGCAGCGTCGAAATTTCAATTGAAATCTATGTGGCAATTTCAGCGGCATTCAGTGTAAATAAATTGAATTAAAGCAAAATCTGCAGCCTGACCTGACAAAGTTTGGCCAGCGAAGAAGTGTAAAGTAAACAATAACATAGGCAGTCGAGAAAAGTGGTTTTCGATAAATTACAGCGCACACACACACACCTGTAATTTTGTGCAAAGTTGTGTGTGCGAGTGTGAGGCGAAGGAGAGGAAAGGTCAAGCCAAAAATTGCGTAAAGGGAAGAGGTAACGAGAGAGCGGAAAGGAGTTACGTCAGTTACGTATAGACGATAAGCAATATCCGATTACTCAGAACGTATTTCAATCCCTTACATTGATCTTAGTATGGAGAGTGAAGTATTTGTACGATAAACAACAAGCGATATCCAATCTACCAAATTCGATTCCCCTTTTCACTTTCGTTTGTATCCGAAAGAAGACCGAGATTAACGTCAAATTCTAATATACGATATACGATATCCGATAACCGATTCCGATTCATAAAATATAAGGAAAATCAGGCAAGATTCAGTTCGTGTACGCTTACAACAGTTCCGCGCCCCACGCCGCCTCCTCCTTCCGTACCGCCGTCGCCCCCTTTTCGCCCTACGCGGCCGAACGGACGACCAACCACCACCCACTCCCACCCCCTGACCACCAGGAGCAGCTGCCCTCGGACACCGAGCAGCTAGCAGGATCGGATCAGGACCAAGAAGAGGAGGAAATCGAGGAGGAGCGCGCAGGTAGCGGACCCTCCATAAAGCCACTCATCGCATTACCAACTGCACCGGAAGCGGTACAAAAGACAGCGGCGAAAGGAGAAACAGAGACAAAAACAATGGCAGTGGTGCGAAAGAAACAGGACGACAAGTACCTGCTTGCCCTGCGGGAATTGGTGACCAGCGGGTCGGGCGGCAATCGGCAGTGTTTCGATTGCGGCCAAAAAGGACCAACCTACGTTAACATGACCATCGGATCCTTTGTCTGCACCCGCTGCTCCGGAGTCCTGTAAGTATCCTTCTCCTTGTGTTGTAAGGCAGTGTAGTGTAGTCCGAAATTCCAGGAACTGGTATTTTCCACATTAGTCGCCTAGTAGGGTGGTCTGTATTCTAAAAACTATATGAATGAAAACTGGTCAATCTTTTCCTGTTCACAAAAGGCATTGAATATATAAAAAACCTAAGTTTTTAAATATGAAATAATACAATAAAAAGCGATCCAGATAAAGCAAGCTTAAAATTTTCCAATTATTACTGGTTGATTTTCGATCTAAAGACAATAGTTAATCAACTTTCAGGCCCCTTGACACTTGTTATTAACGACACTCATTGGTATTTACTGATATTCTTATCGTTTGCTCCCTTATTTGTTAATCTTCACAAGGGCTACCTCTATCAAATTACTTAATTATTATTAGATTACAAGAAACATAAAAAAACATAGCCAAGCAAGAATCCTAAAAATAGGATTGAAAATCTAAAAATATCAACATCTTATCGATCCGTGGACCTCTCTTGGTCTGGTCTCTTATCATCCATTGCACCCAGCAAATTTGAACTCGGTGGACGTTCATTTTCGATCTTTTGCCGAGTGGAGTGACCGATAATTTCCGATCGATGCAACGTCCGATCCCGTCTCCCCATTATTATTTCGTATTTTGTGAGAAAGCGAAAGCAATTCAGCGGACAATTTTGATCAATTTCGCACAATTTGGTTTCCTTTCCTTTTCGAAATGCAAATCGAAGACAAAACTTTCAATTGCGCGACATCGCGCCAAACGAAATTGTTTTGTTTTCGCCGGCGGCGCTTTCTATTCGTGTTTGTGTTGTTTGTGACAACTTGGAGGGCCGCCCACCTGGCGGTTGAGTTGTGGGTGTCCTTGGTGCCCCTCAACTTTTTGCCCCTTGGAGTAATTTGGCAAATTGGCTGAATTGGGGTCATATATTACCACTCCTCCGCCGCTGCATTTTATTTGATTTACGCATTTCCGGATCAAGCACATTACATGATTGCTTTTAAACTTCCGCCTGGCCCAGGTCCAAAAGCCCGGTCTCCCACGAACTGTGCCCCAGATTACGGACTCTCAATTGGACAGCATGCGGGCTCCTCCGCTGAGTTATCTCTATCATCGAAACCAGGTTGCAAAGTGGCCAACTGCTATGCACTCGCCCTGCTGCATTCTGTTTTCTGCAGTCCCCAACTCCTCCTTCGATGACTCATGGCCTGTTCCTTGGTCTTCGCTACTCAATCCTCGTTGCCAACTGCCAAGGGAAACAAATGTTGGCATGTAAATGAAAAGCCGCATAAATGCCGGGGACAAAAAACATTGCACTGGGAGAAACGATTGAATGGCTTTCAGTACAACAATTGAGTCCTCCATCTCGGTTATCTTAAATAATATCTTAGTAAAATCTAACCCTAACTTGTATTGACTTAAGTAAAAGGCATTTAGAGATGCTATTAATTGATATTGGGCTCTCAACAGTGGCGGAAAATAAGTTATATCAGTTTAATCTTGGTTTCCCACTATTTTCTCCCTCTGTAGCCGAAGGGGTGTGGAAGGTTCTGCAGCATAATAGGGAAATCGACGAAGGAAGGGGCGTGGCAGGGGCGACAGCAGGCGACAACGAACTTCCTGGCTGAAAATGAGACTGGAACTTCGAGTTGCGACAAGGGAGCGAGTGCAGGGAATACCAAATGAAACCGACTCCATGAAGAAATGGTTGTGCATGTTTAGCCCGCCTTTGGATATTGGAATCCGCTGCAGACCGGCCGGCCACTTGGAGCGCTTAATGGAGGAAGCGGTTCAGGAATGGGGGGCTGGAGTAGCAGAATGGTCGATGAGAATGGGAATGGGAGTGGGTTTCAGAATGGGAATGTCCGGGGAGGAGTGGGGAAAACCCGTTCAACAGCTTTTGCCAGGCACACTCGAATGTATTTTTGGGCCGAAGTTGCTGCTGTGGTGCCTCCAATTGCAGACAAATTGTTGCACCTCAATCAAGCAGCAGTCGCCGCCATCTGCTACTCCGCCTTTTCGACTTTTTGGACTGTTTTCCATGGCTTTGGCTTTGGCAAAGTTCAAAGCTGGTGCTGGCTCATAAAAGTCAAGAAACTTGTTGATTAGATAAGGCGAAAGCAAACGAGCATTGGGAGCAGCCCAGAGCAGAGCAGAGCAGCGATGTTGAGCCACTTTCTCAGGCTTCGTCATCATTCCCACCGCACACAAAGCACTAACTGCACACAGCAATGGCCATTTGAATATGAAGTTGCCGGCTTAATAGTATATTATTCAATTATTAAATAACTGAGCGTTGTGAATCAGCGCTAGTTCAGTCGAAAAAATGAAAACACTCGTTGAGTTGATTGCTCTATTCGCTGGAACAGATGTTGATTAGCTTCGCGATTTACTATCTGTGAAATTATTCTACGAGCTAAGAAAATTCCATTTAGTTTGGTTTCATTTCCATATTTTTACATTATTTTGCTTAAACTTGAAGGACTGTGAACTTTTGGAAGACATTAAATGCGAGTTCCTGTTTTGTTTTCCGTTTTTTCTAAACTGATTACAAATTATATATATTCTTTATCTTGAAATAAACTTGTTTACTTCCTTCAAGCTCATAAATGTGTGATTTCCTTGACTATTTAATATCTCGTTGACTCACTGCTCAAATTTTTGAATATTTTCACGAAAAGAGTTTAAACAAAAAGGGTCTTATCGTGGCGTGTTAAATCCCATAAAAATTGCCTTATATTTGCCACAGTCAAACCCACTTTATGTTGGAGCTATTCCTACGGCCCTGGTTGTATGTTTGCAGTTGGTCTTCGGGTGTTTGTGCGCTTCTATCTGCCGGGAAGTCGATGGCTTTAGCTATAGTCATGCTATAGGTACACAGAAGGAAAAATGTAATGACGAAATAATATGATTCTAGTCAAGGTTTTTAAAACATCAAATATTACCGTAAGACTCTCAAGATATAAAATACTAAGCTTTTGATATCGTCAAAAGACAGATGGATAGAATATATGTTTTTTCAGTGTAACTTGCAGTAATGTTGTAGGTACGTGCGTCAGCGGCCAAGTGAACTGTGGACCGAGCCCCTCCCGGCTTCCGATCCCCGATCCGTACCGCATTGGCATTGCAGTTGCAGGCAAACTGGGCCAACTGCCTTCGAGTGGAGCTCACAAAAAGCTCAGAGCACGTCTTTCTCTCTCTTTGCCGTTCTGCGGCTCATATGTAAATTTCCGATTATGAAACAGCATAAACATGTCTGCGTTTGACAGCCCCGAAAAAGAGGGGAAAGGTTGGGGGCGGGGCACACTTTCACCATGCGGTGTCAGCTGTGTGGCCCCTTTTATTTCTGCCTCTGTCCGCCGAAAAAAGCCAAGACAACAAACGAACAAACTAAAAGAAAAGCAACCAAAAGGCAAAGCGTAAGAGCAATTAAATATAAATAACAACAGCCAAATGTGTACGGGTCGGGTGTACGGGTGTGCGAGTGTAAGAGTGTGTGTTAGCCGTACAGCACTCCCATTTATGTTTTTTGTCTTTAAACTTAAAATTCAAATTGCAAAAAGGTTTGTACACGGAGGGAAGAGGTGTCTCAATATGGTAGTGGAAGATAAATATCTGTAGTCTTCGTTAGATTACTTTGTTCCACTTCGGAACTATAAATATTTGATGGCTATATTAAGAATATCAAGCATCACCAGCTATATAGTTTACATAGTTATTATAATGTATAAAAATCCAGAAATTTTTGGATTTTCTTTCCACTGTATTTGCTTTGATTTGAGTTCCTGGAATCAAAGCGAGCGGATTCGAATGGAATCGCTCCTAACTCGTTTAGCATTTGAGGAAATGTTTGTGAATCGCTTATGAGCTTTGAAGGAAGAGGAAGAGAAACACATCGGAGGGTGGGGAAGGGGGTAATAGAGATAGGAATACATAAACTAGGTAGAGGCGGAGGAGCTGGTGGGGGTGACCGGCAATTACTGCGCAGTTTTGATTCAAAGCAACACACAAACACTTTCAGAAGGTGTCGTTGTTGTAATTGCTGTTGGTTTCTTTGTTTCGCCGTTGTTGTTTTTTTCGCTACCCTCCCTAACCGCCCCCTAAGCACCCCTTAACCCCTTGCAACCCCTTAATCTCTCCTCTGTTTGTTTTGGCGCTCGCCTTGAAATAGAGATTTCAATTCTATTAATAATGCAGAGGCGCAAACGGCGAGCGACAAGCGATTTGGCTCTCGATTCTGAATTCTCGATTCTCAGATGTGAGTGCAATTCAAATGCGGAAATATGTGGGTGGCGATGGAGCGGAAGGGGAGGTGCTCCAGTTTGGCCAAACAGGCGCCATTCCCTCCCCCAGAAAAGAGCTCGAACAGCTGGAGAGAAGGGGCCAATTAAGAGCGCAGGCTACACTCAAAAAAAGGGAACTGCAATGTGCAACGTCATCAAGCAGTTTAGGTCAAACTTAATAAAAATGGGATAAACGAGTACTTTTGTAAATTATAATGTTGATAAATGGTTAGATCAGCTTAGTTTAATACAAGAATTTTTCACAAGTGTATGCTGACAGAGAGGGCAAGAGGGTCATAGGCAGAGAGCGAATCAGAATGGGAACAGGCAGAAGGCGCCTGCCCACACGGAGATTTATGGTTTCTGCTTTGCTCGCCACCCATTTACTCACTAGGAGGCACATCGTCAGCCAGAGCCTGCTGCGTGCTTCGATTGCCCTTTCGAAGATGTCCTGGGGTGAACCGCCATATGGTCACATGTAGAGGGATCAAGGGAAAACCGCGTACCGAAAATCAAACGCATCCATATTGGAAAGAGGTTTTAAAACTAGGTTTCCTGTTAATAAAGTGAATTACAAATAAGAAATACTATGTCATAGAGAATCATAGCAACCGCCTTAGATGCAGAACCCGGGGAAGGAGCTGCCACTTTCCGGCTGCCCACGCGGCTTTGTCCGAGAAATCTCTTTCCGGGCGAATGAATGGCTCAAT